AACCGTACATTTATCGACGAAATAAAATTGGGCGGTGATACCCGACATTCATGTGAGCGGGGCTACCCGATATCCAATTTTTTTGTAAATTTGTAATTACTCGAACAATTTTTTTACATACAAACTTCTTTCTTTGTGCAAATTAAACTTAAGACTACATACTTTAATGCTGTATGTATAGAAAAAATTATTTTTTTAGTATTAAAATGAAGTTTAATCGAAACATTCAACCAATTTTTCTTAATTTCATGACTACTGTATTCAACATATTTTCAAAACTATTGTTTACCATGTTAACAGCTTCATAAATACTTAAAACTTTGAATAGAATATTTTTTTAATATAACAATTAATGTCCGATGGCCCATTGACTTGAAAAAATATTCTATTGCCTGGGCCGGGGGGTACCCGCTAGGCGCGGCTACCCGACTCTCCCCTATATATATGAAGAAAAAAAAAACAGTTGCATTTTTATCTTATTGATAAAGATTAGAAAACAATCTCAAGAACGTATTCTTTATGGAACACTTGGCTTAGTAATATTTAAAAGCTAATTTTATATTTCTTCCAAAAACATGAATATATGCAATCCCCTTATAATGCTGAAGTCTCCATATTAGGCTAATAAAAACAGTAATAATTAGCAGACATTAAATCTCTCTTAATAAGTGTTTAATTACAAACTAATCAGGTAAATAACTGTTTAATATGCTTGATGTCAACTATAAAAATTGGTAAATATAGTATTCTGCTTCTATTTAAACGAGTTTTATCTATAATGATGTTCTAAAGCAATGAAATGTTAGACATGTTTGAAACGTCTACTATATAAGACTGTAGGCTAAACCTTCTGATTCCATTTAAACGAGCCTTATATCTGTAATGATGTACAAACTTAATGAAGTATTAGACATCTTTTAAAAACGCTCTTTGTGTCATGGGAATCTTCAGTGACAAATTAAAAAAACTTGAAAGGATTAACGTTCATTAAAGATATACATTTATTTGAGAATGCAAATATAAAATTATTTTTAAAAAATGAAAACTTAAAATGAAGCTTCATTGTATTCTGCTTATTCAGCAGGTGGTTCTCTAGTAATTTAAAGGCGCTTTTTGTTTCAATGCTTTTATTTATTTTTATACTACTTAGAATTAGAAGCAAAAGCAGGTGCTTTTGCCAAGTTTCGCCCACTGCTTGCGTTCCGAAATAAACAGTTAAAAATTTGCTGTCCAGAACTTTTATTTACCGCTGTCTCCTTCGTTGATGCAAGTTGTCTAACGGTATTTCAATTGAAAACTTTTCACACTACAAAACTTTTTTCCCCTTTTAGAACTTATTTTTATCCATATTTTTTTTAAAAAAGAGGTGACTCATAGGTAGCAACACCTGGTGTATCACGCAAAAGAAAGCAAAGAAAGAATAAAGACGTCACAAACCGGTTGTACGTATTTTCAGATGTGGTAGGCAGGGGAAAACATTCTCTAACTTCCACCTTGATCAATGCAAGGTGTGCTTTTCTCCCTTTATATAGGTATTTTCATTATGACTTCTTTTCGGAAATGCTTTGGTTGAATGCATCCATGGTTTTCGAAAAAGTTTGTCTTCTGTCAATCTCATTCCATGATGATTGCTTTTGATTTGATGTTTTAAATTCCTTTGTTGGATACTAGATAAAATGCCTCCTTCAGTTAAAAGGCAAGACTTTAAACAAAATTATGAAATAACTACGAATGATTATATTCGTCAAATAAAGTGTGTTTTGGTTGGTGATGGAGCTGTTGGTAAAACAAGCTTAATTATAGGATATACAACTAACGCCTATCCTAAGGAATATATGCCGACCGCCTATGATAAATATAGAGGTAAGTACAAATATTTAAAAAAAAAATTTTTTTTATATACCTGTAATAACAAAATGACAAAAGTTTTTTTTTCTTTCTATGAATAAAGAACAAATATTTCGTTGTACATTTTTAATTGTAAATTTTTTATTATGTCAATCCGCATTTCTTCGATTTTTAATTTTTTATTACGTCTAACGTTTCTAATATAGATAACGTTTTCTAGTGTGTACAGATACGTTTGTACACGCTAGGAATTATAGGGATTTACACATTAAAAGTTTCAAATCATTATTTAAGGAAAGAAAAAAGCTTTTTCAAAAAAAAAAAAAAAAAAAATTCTAAAGAATCACAACTTAGGAAAGTAAGATTGGAGATAACAAAACCAATTTGATTGCTGGAGAACTCACAGAGGAGTTGAAAGGTAATTGTTAGAAACACCTACAATTTCATTAAGCAATCAAAACTGTTTTTATATATTTCATTCCTCTTTCCTCACCTGTTAATCTGCTATTCTTCTGAGTTCTTTACTTAAATAGTTATCTGATACTCGTACTGTGTATACTTCTTCTTATAGGGATTTTAAAATTATATTTAGAAAGGAGCTGACTACTCAAACCTATCTTATAAACAGTATTAAATTGAAGGATTTGAAACTGAGATGAAAAAGTTCAAAAAATTTTCTTTACGATTTTTTTTATTATATTTAAAAATATTGCAGTTTGGCAATCAACTATAGCCTAAAGGCTTTTCATGGATGTGCCTGACTGCTTAAGATGATGATGACTGATGATGAAACAGTGCATTGTTTATATATTTTAAAGAGAGAGAAAAAAATTGACAGTATTTCGTTTTAATCTATATTAAGGTCTTTTTTTGTTCAATATAAGCTGTTTTTCTTTTTTCTTTATTATTATTAAATGCAAAATTCTTATGAAATATTTAAATCAAATGAGTAAGTACTAAATGTTAATATTAAATAAAAATTTAAATTTTTTTTTGTTTTGTTTACATAGAATTAAATTTTAATTAAATTGGTTGAGAAAACGAACTAAAAAATTACAAACCCTTTGGGGCACTCAGTCTAAATATCTTGACAGGAAAAAATTAATTTACTATTTAGTTCATAATTTTTAATAGAAAGTTTTGCCAAAATAAACCTCCTTTTATGTTTTTCTATAATTTATTTACATCTCTAAACATTACGCAACTCTTCAGTATGATATTCTTTTGTCTATTCCAGTGTTTCCCAACCTTTTTTGTGCCATGCCCCACCTAAGCTTTTCTAAAATTCTTAAGCCCCCCTATGTAACGTATACACAATTTTTAATATTAAAAAATTGAATTGTTCACTTAAGAAACTTAAATTATAGATTTTAGGAATAAATCACTAGGAAATTGTTTACGAAGCACAGTAAGCAAATTTTCAAGAAATGTAATGAAAAACTAAAATTTAAATTCGTAAATAAGTTTAATAAAGATTTTTCTACAATAATTTAATATTTTAATTTAGTGAGATCATTGCGCTTTCTGCTTGCTGCACAGAAATTTTATGTTAGGTTCCAATTTGGTTCCTTCAGTCTCAAGTCTCCCAGTTGTATTACATCCAGACGATTTCTTTTTTTTACTAGTAAATAATTTACAGCAAAAATCCACATTCAGCTAAATATGAAGATGGAAACTGTAACAATAGTTTTCTTGCACATTTGGTTGAATTTGGGTACATTATTTCTGTTTACTCACAAAGCCATGACATTATTCCTTTGATATTAAACAAAGTTTTAACTGATTCATCATTTTGCATTTCTACGAGTTCTTCTCAGACCGTAACAAAGGCATGTGCATGCTGGGCAATTGCCCAGGGCCCCCATAAGAGGGGGCCCCAAATCAAATAGAAAGTTTATTTTAGGTTTCCTTCATTTGATGAACTTTTTTTTAAACAAAATACTAGCACAGTGTAAAATCCGTCAGTTTTATGTTAGCTTCTTCATTAATCTATCGTATGTATTTTCGTATGTATCGTATCTATTTTTCGTAAAACCATGGCTTTCTAGTGTGGATTTTGGGTAAATTTCGCAATTACGTTGGAAAAATTTGGCCAATCAAAAAACTGTATTTTTACATATCGCAAAATGGGATATGTTTACCAAAATACAGTATTCTGATTGGCTTAATTGAGCCATCGTAATTGCAAAAATTTCGTTGAATTCCGCCCTAAGGTCAGCAAGGATATGAATTTTTTGCAGCTGGATGACAAAGTTAATTAGAAAACTGCATTCAGCAAGATGAACATTGTCAAAAAATCAATAAAATGAACAGAGCGATATTTCGTCTGACCATTGGAGGGGGGGGGGAGACTTAATAGCTTTTTTAAAATTTTAATCAATTTTCTGGCTATATTTGTATAATGAGTTGAAAATTTAAATACCTCCTAAATTTTAATATTTATTTTCTAAAATTTAAATAAAGTCGGGTCATGGTTTTTTTTAATACTGCATATTTGATAATCAGACAAATCCACTAACATTGACTGCATCATCCGTGTTGGAAAATCAATTTGTTTTAAATCAGAAAATCTTTCTTGTAAATCAGCCAAAAGAATTTTCAGATTATCGACAATAACAAGTAAAGCGGTATCATTTACTTCACATTTTTGGAGCAAATGAAACTGTTCAAAAGTTTTTGTTGTTAATATACTTCCGACACAACTCAATAAGGGTAATGAAACAAATTCCTTGAATTTGCTTATTTAATATATTTAGTTTTTCAAAGATATCGGCTAAATAACTAACAAATGCTTTACCGTCGACCCTTAACAGATTCCGTTTCAGGTTTGTCGCTTAAAAACCGTTAACCATTAACCATTTCAGACCGTTAACCATTTCAGGTTTGTCTCTTAAAAAATCGCTAAGTCACATAATATTTATTGGCGCAATTATTTAAAAATTTAATTTTTTCTTTCAATTTTGGCACCGAAATCTGGCATTGCATTTAAGTGGCTCGGAGCAAAAGGGTTAAACTCGTGTTGAGTTCATTTTCTAATTGCCCCCCTTAACAATCAAATTGCCCCCCAGTGGGGTGTGGGCCCCACGTTGGGAAACACTGTTCTAGACAATCATTTCCATAAGTTTCAGTTTCGATTTACAAACACTCTCATTTTACCATGAAAAGAAATTCGTCTGTGGTTTTGGCGCCACAGAAAGCAATAAAGAAAGAATCTTGTCTGATTCACAGATGCGCAAGTATTAATCGAAAGTGATATTCATAAAATAATATTCAAACAGATGAATAATTTTAAACACACTTTTTAAATGAGAAAAGAAAAATCAAAGCTCAAATATTTTAGAATGCAGCTTTTTTAACTTTTGCACAATATATATTCATTTTGAAACATAAAAAGATAGCTAACTCTCATAATATATTTCTCTATCTACCAGATTCTTAGTTTATAAAAATTATTTTTAGAATGAATGATTCAAACTACTTATAATATATTTAAACTTCACACACAGAATTACTATACAACATAATACTTTTCATTAAGTTTCAAATCAATCGATAGTAAATATTAATATTTTACTCTAGTATACTATACTACTATAAAAATTATACTTATCAATGTTGACCGGGAAAGGGTTTTCCCGGTTTTCCTCGTCTAGCTGGGAAAACGGAAATACAAAATTCAGGAAATCGAAGTACGGGATGACCTCATTAAATTCCACAAATTGAACAGGATGTTCACTTACTTTCTGAAAAAAATTGAGCCAGCAAGGAACCGTTAATTCGGCCACGAGTTGGGCGTCATTTTGTAGGGGAAGTTTGGGTTTATTTGTACTTTTACCAATTTACATAAATAATGAAAGGCCAGAAATTAACTAACTCTAAATATTTATTGAAAAGGACAAAACACATATATAATAAAACAAGAATAAAAAAATACAAGAATTTGGAAGAGGGGGTTTTGGTCTCGAATTAAACGTCCGTAGTTTACGGCGGTTCCTGGCAGACTGTCTAAAGGCCTGGTTTCTTAGGACAGGACGACGTCAGCTGGAAATCAGCGCTAGCCTCTGATTTGCCCATTTGTGAGTTTGATAGTATACGTCATCGAACGCATACTATGAAACTCACAAATGGACAAATCAGAGGCTAGCGCTGATTTCCAGCTGACGGCGTCCTGTCCTAAGAAACCAGGCCTTTAGTTCACCGTCAGAGGCGCTGTAGTGGAGGAAAGAGGAAAGCTTGTCACACATTGAGTTTTAAAGGTTAAATACCCTACCACTATCTCTGGGCCACTATCTTTGGGCTACCACTATCTCTGGGATGCACACTTCTTGGCTCAGAACTTTCAGGGAGATCGACCACCTTAGATTTGAAAATACACAGTGGGTTAACCTCAGTTATTATGTTAGATGAACTGTCTGATCTATGCAAAATATACTCTGATTATGAATATTTCGCGATAGCACCTTTAACTTCTTTTCGAAAAATAGAACAGTCTTTTTAAAAGAAAGCTAGGTTGAAATGGAGTAATAATCGTTTTTACTTTTATTTTTCAGGAATCATCAATAGTATTCTGAGTTGGGAAGGCTTCGTACCATTCGCAAGATTGACTTACATGGTGTACCTCGTTCATTATGGTCTAATATACATTTATACCGGTTCCATTAGGCAGTCAATGCTGTTAGGACATCGGACTATGGTAAGATCTTGTACGAAAAAGACTATTAAATAAACAAAATCTTTAAAAAAATGTGTCAAATAAACTACCTTAGTAGCAAAAACTTACGAAACAAACAGAATTTCTTCATAACATTTTATCAAAATGTAAAAACATAACTAAGTTCTTGTTTGTTTTATGTTAATTTTGTCAACTTACTCCACTTTATTGCCATTGGGTGACTAGAATCGTGGCCATAAATCAGATCTACCGGAAAATTCTGTTTGCGAAAGAACGAGCCACAAGGATGCAAAATGTTCATTTATAAAAATAAAAAAATAGTAGGTAATGGTAGTAATTTTATAGATGAGAGGTTAATTGAGAACAGAGAAGACGACATCTAAAGTAGTACTAATACCGCGTATGTAACTATATTTTTTTGAAGGCATATTTAAGTACAATAAAAGCAAAATTATTAAATCAGAACCACTTAAAGTATAAACAACTAACTTCTGCCCCTCCCCTCAGCTAGCAGTGGTAAAATTATCAAACGCTGCCAGGTCCGCGCCAACAGAAAGGTTGGGGAGCAATGTTCAATAGGATTGCAAATTTTATATTAGAATGCTTTTCTTTAACTATAGTAGTATTGAAAAAGAAAAGCTTTAATTAGCTTAAAGCTTTAATGCACAGATTTTTTGAAAAGAATCGTCCAAAAAAAAATTTTTTTTTAATGTGAAAAAACACACTTTAAAACATTGTTTTTTCTTTCGGTGGACAATTAGTTGTGAATTATATAAGTCTACGAATTATTTAGAAATAGTGGTGGATAAAAATCTACTAAATTGAATTTATTAAACCAAGAATCACTGCTGATAAACTACCACTTTAAAATATATATTTGCTGTCCGAAGCAAGTTGTCATCTCTGTATATTTTATTTTTAAATAAATAAGTGTTAAAGCTTACAAATCTATGTAAATGATAAATATCAATAAAACGATTTTTTTTCTTAGCTTTCACATTGTTATTTTCAATTCTCGATTATATTCGAGTGTGAAAAATTATAGCAGCATAAAATACAACGCCACTCGAATTATCTTGAGTGTGCTCTAATTAACTCGAGCGCACAAGTTAAGGGGTTAAACTTCTTACGCTCATTTTGGACGATGAAAGTTTTGTGTGAGTAAAAAGGACCCCATTTCTAAATGCTTCAAGCATGATCTTTTAAACTGTGCCAACAGTTTAGCCTTGTAAAATCTTCCAAAACATTTGCTGTTGAAAAAATGATTGTTCACTTAGATTTAGCAGATAATTGTTTCTATAATTGTTTCCGAACCTCTTATACCATATTTAACAATTCCAATTTTTCTGCTTTTCAGATATTCATATTTTTCAACATTATGATCCTCAGTTTCTTGGCAGCTTTTGTGCTAGGTCTATTCTTTGAATCGCCTTTAATGGCATTAGAGAAAGCATTCTCGGATGGAAAACTGAGAAAAGAAATCATGCCAGTCAATGCAGTAAATGGAATTGATATTAAGAAGAACACTGCATGAGTATTGAATTCTATGAATATGACAGATATAATTTTTAAAGAGGTCTTCATTTGACAAGTGCCTGTCAATTCTTCATTCGTGCTGCCTTAAAGGCAATAAATCCATCTTTGACTTTCAAGCTGTTTTAACATTTGATATTCTATCAATCATTAGCCATTAATTGAATGAAAAAAAAACTATAGCATAGTAAACTATAGTAATATATTGATTTCAATAAATTGTTTTGAAACATTGCAAATGTATAATTCATATTACACTTATACACAGTTTCAGGTGAAGGTAATTTAATTCCTTTTCATTGTTTAAGTGGAATTATCGACAGCTGAAAATATTTAGACAATTTCGAAAAAAAGAACTCTTAGTAAGTTGTAAGAATGCTTAGTTAAGTAGTAATTAATTTAGTATTAACCTAATTTATGTAAACAATAATCAGACTTTTTTGTAATGAACAGAAGCAACAAATCCTAAAATAAAGTATGCATCCTTTTAAATTTGTGAACAATTTCAAGTTATAATAAATATTTCTAAGATAGACAGTAGCTATTTTTAAATAATGACTTAATGCTATACAAACTGCATACCTGCTCATCGCATGGGATGGAGAAAAAAAAGGAATCGATAAGTCAGTACTGAACAAAAATACAAAATCATGCACATACAAAAATACAGACACAAATAATAAAGTTAAAATAACTCCTTTTTTATTTGTTGCCTTTCTCGGTGACTATTTTTAAAAAAATTTCAATTTGTTTTCCATCCTTTTAAAATAAAGATTAAGTGTATATTAATAAGATTAACTGTATTAATTTTTCACTATATTTAGTTCTCGATTTACAACAGTATAATTTTCAAATACTATAAATCAGCATGTTTTTTTTCCCTACTTGCTTGAGTACTGGCTAATCTATATATTAATAGGCTAGCAATATTTTGTCTCGCTAAAAACTCCCAAACTACGCAACAGAATTAAACAAATAAGGTGTCGTTTTAAAGGTATTGTTATGTAGATGTGCAATAAGGTCTTAAATTATGAAAATTTCCTTTAATTAATTAATAAAATTAATAATTTAGTTTCAACCAATGAGAATTCAGCAAATCATTTTTCGGGTGGTTCGCATAAGCATTGTTTCCGTAAGCATCGTTTGATTTAAAGCATTTCTGAATTAATAGATTGATAAACAAAAATAAGAGTGGATAAAAAAAACGGAACTGAATTTCTTAAAAAAAGAATTCAATATCTTTAGTTCCTTTGATAAATTTTTAGTTTCATGATAAATTTTTTGTTTCGTTACAATAGAATGGCAATGGCATCGTGCGAATATTCAAACCAAAACAAACGTGCGAATATTCAAACCAAAACAAACTTTCTACAAACAATTATTTTGATTTGAGATTTAAAACGATATCTTAGTTATTTAGTTCTATTTTTATTTATTTAGTGCCTGCTGCCTAAATAAAATGCCTGCTATCAGGCGTCGAAATATCTCTGGCAGACGTCAGAGAAATGAATGGCGGAATTCTAAACGGGAAAGCATTTCTTATTGAGATATATTCTCTGCTACAGCTCCAAATTTCTCAGCTACATGAAGAAAAGATAATCAAATTGTGAAGGGGGCAGAGAAGTGTATAAATTTCATTAAGTAATTGATTTCAATATCTGGCATTTTTATTTTAAAATTTAAATTTGTTAAAATGTTTTTATAAGATTGCGAAGCAATATGCAATGGAACTGCGAAGCAGTTCTGGGGGTTGGCGAGCGTAGCGAGCAGGGGGCGGAGCCCCCTAGTTATAATAAATCTAGCTCGACCTCTTCGTATTTCACTCAAGGAAAAATGAAAAAATAGAATCCTTGAATATTAATAAATAAAATTTTTAATGTTATTTTTAATCATATAAGAAATATTTTCAACTCGAAAAATTAACATATTTTAGTCTGTTTTTTTTATTTGTTTTTATGCGATAAGGT